TTCCCTCCCTTCCTCTCTCTCTCTCTCTCTCTCTCTCTCTCTCTCTCTCTCTCTCTCTCTCTCTTTTTCTTCCTCAGCAAACAGGTTGATGGATGGAAGCAAGAAGGAGAGACAAGACAGTGCAGAGAGCGGGTAGTGAGGAGGCAGAAACTAGATCCCCAGAGCTGCCCCAAGGGCAGCGCGTGAGGCCCGAGTCCCATGTCCGAAGCCTCCATTTGGTTCCACTTGCACCTGCTTTTCCAGGATCATGAGGCAGGAGCATCAATAAACTCAAACAGCTGACAGTCCTGAGATCCCGGTCCGGTATCAAGTCTCCAGATTCGTACTCAATTCTGATCACCGGGGGCTTCCTTTAGGAGAATCTCAGAGTGAGTACAAAAGGGCAAAGGAAGCCTATGAGTCCCTATGGACCAGGGCCGGCCGTTCCCAGATCAGTGCTGGGTTCCAAAGTCAAGGCTGTGAACCAGAGACAAACAGAACATTTGCCTTATATGCATATATAGTCTGGGAAGCGAAGGCCAGACTGCCAGGGAGGCAGGCCCATCTCAGCTGCACGTTCCCATCTTGGTTCCCTCATGGACACAAGTGTCTTTGTGTGACAATGTGGAAATGAAGGAAATGCCAAGAGGAAGAGGGATGTGACAGGAGGGAGAGCCATACTGGCTGACCACAAATCCAAGGAGGACAGGCCGGTGGGGACCATCACCGACAGAGACCTGGAGAGCAAACCCCTGGAAATCCATCCTCGGCGACCTGGAAAGTAAGCCTGTGCGAAGCAGTCTTCACCTTTGGTAAAATTCCACAACTTGAATTAAGTCTGAATTGTATTTGCCACAGAGTGCTCCCTCGCCCCACCAATCCAGAAGGGACCCAGTTGGCTGGGGCCTTGGGGTCTAAGAGCCGCTCATCCATGTCTTCTCCAAGGTCTCTTGACTTGTTTTAGGGGGAAGAACTAGCTTGACTCGATTCTGAATCTTGGATCCACCGCCAGTGAACAAGCTGCCTGGTGCCCGTGAACCTGTTGTCTCCCACGTGTAACACGCCTCCCCACAGGGTTCTCGTGAGGACTGAGCTGTGTTTGCACAGCAGTTCAGCTCATGCTACTTGGGGCCAGACCTCTGGGATCCAATCCTTGTTCCACCACTTACTATGTGACTTTGGGTCAACGACTCAACCGCTCTGGGTTTCAATACCCTCATCCATAAGATAAGGCCGACGATAATAAATAGACCCACCATGTAGCAGTAATAGCATGATACATGTAAATTGCATGACATTATGTTGAAAAAGCATAACGCATGTAAATTGTTTTGCCCTGTGCCTGGCTACATAGCAATTTCTCAATAAATGGCTGCTACTTATATTCAACAAGTATTTACTGAGCACCTATTATGCATTAGAGGCTGGAATTGGGAGTGGGGATATGAAGGTGAGTAATACATGGTTCCTATCCCTGAAGGGTGAGCCGTCTGGGGAGGGGGCCAGCATTAAAAAGGTAGAGAATAGTGATATTTTTAAGTGCTTACATTATGTCCAGAATTTTCTTAGGTATCAGTGTATGTTAGCCAACCCATTGAATCCTCAGAAGAGCCTCAGGACTGGGTACCCCTCTGCTCAGGTGCATGAAGGTGACTTGCTATGGAGACAGGACGTGGAGGCATCCTGCACGGAGGGCTTGGTAACTGTCAGCCCTGGTCTCCCTTACCCCTGCCCTGGCTGCTGTTTGGGACACAGGACTTGGAGGCTAACGTTCTATCGTCCTTGGGATATCATGAGATGGGAAGCAGAGAATATATGCAAAATGCTTAGAGGGCCCAGGGGGTAGGATGGGCATCACCTTCTAACCCTTGATTGCCTCATCCATGAAATGGGCTTTTTGGTCTCCCCTCGATGTTGTGGGGACGGAAGACAGATGCCGTGTGAGAAAAGACTGGCTCTGACGCAGCTACAGTTCATAGAGTCTCTCCTTGACCTGACTGAAGACCTTGACTGATGTGGCTCTGCCCGGGCAGGGCTGAGATAACCTGCATGCAGGGTGTGAAAGATGGACTGGCCCCAGGGCACAGTGGAAAAGACAGGCTTTGGAGGGAGGGGTGAAGGCGCAGGCTCGCGGCCTTCAGGTCTGAATGTCCATCCCCTCCAATCCTTCATGCCCTTGACACGATACTTCGTCTCCATTTAGGAGGAGTCAGAGATGTGCCCGTCATTCCCAATGTGACCTTCTGGGTCAAAGCTGAAAATATCTCTTCTCCACAACAAGGTGAAACCTGACTCTGTCTATTTACTCTCTATTAAGGACCCTGCAGACAGGCGGTTGATTTTTAAAATAATAGAATTGGAGAGAAGCACGCTTCCACCGAGGAACCCCGCTGCCATGTCAAGGAGCTGAGGGCGAGCGTCTGGAGGAAAGCATGCTGGGCCTCCCAGCTCTGCCACCGGACACCTGCGTGACCCGGGATGGTGGCGACCTTCTCAGCACCTTCAGTTTCCTTGCCCATAAGACGGGAATGATGCAGATGCCCACCTCTCAAGGTTGTGAGAAGTAAATGAAATAACGTGGGTAAAATACACGTGGAGTCACTGTCCGTGCCAAGCCCTCGTCCCCAGGGGGCTTTCCTATTTCAGGGCAACAGCAATAAGGACTGCCACTGCTACTTTTACTGTTCTTCTTGTTAGACCTCGGGGTCCGGGTCTCCTCAGAGGGTGGGGATAACGGACAGAGGCAGGGGAGTCTACGGAAAAAAACAAAGGCCACTGGGCAAGGTGGTATCTCCCTCCCGGAGAGGGCAGAGCTGCAGAGGCTCCCTTGTTTAAGGTGTGTGGGGGGGTGCTTTCTCTTACCTGCAGTGGACCACGATGGGCCCGGCTTCGGGGGGGTTGAGGAACTTGACCTGGCGGACGAAGCCTAGGAGGCCAGTGGCGTAGCAGGGGACGCCGTGGTCGGGCCAGCTGGTGAAGTGGAAGAGGCGGAGCTCCCGGATCTCGTGGTAGCCTTTCTGAGGAGAGAACGGGCCTCTGTTCCTCCAGCTGTTGCCCCCACAAGCCCCACCCAGCAACCCCCCCGGGAGCGAGGGCTGCTGCCCTGAGGAACCGGCCTCCCTGCTGTCAGGAAGGACAAGGCCCTCAAAGGGTTAACCGGTGTTACCGCCCCGAGGGATTCTGTGATCTGCCACCTCTGGGAACTTGGGAAATAGATACAGTGAAAGTGACTGATGGACTGCAGGACTTCTCAGAGCCTTGAGAGTGCGAATATACATTCTACATCCCCAAGGGGGCGTCCTAACACCCACAGTGTTTGCCCAAGGGACCCTCTTTTGACAAGTGTTTCACGGAACTTGCACGCAGCAGAACTGTTGACCCTAAACATCAAGTTCAAATCATTTCCAGTGGCATACGAGGCCTTGAGGTGATTGGAAAATGTCCTTCTGCATTCTAATCCTGTCTATGAGAGTCTCCAGGGCTTTCCAATAAAAATAATGATCATGCTTCTGTATTCATTAGATTCTTATTTAGAAGTATAAGCTATGGAACCAATAAAAGCAGAGCTTCTCTGACAGATGGGGGCGGTGGGGCCCAGAGCTCCGATCGGTTCCCCTTCCCCTCTCACCACCCCTCACATAGACACCCTCCAGGCCAGGTGGCAGTTCTCTGGCGACTCCATAGTGGGGGTCACACCTCTGAGCCTTGGCTTATGCAGTGCCTCTACCTGCTTTCTCCTACGTAGCAATCTCCTGCAGGTATTTGGAGAGCACTGATTAGGAGGCATGTATGATTGATCATTCTTTCAGTTCAAGAATATTCACTGAGGGTTCTCTGTGCCCAGCCTTATGTTCGGCACAAGGAAGGTGGAAATAAAAACCACAGCTTTAGAACAGCTCGTGGTCTTGTTGGGGAGGCAGGCTCCTAAGTGGATAATTCTATTCAGGGGCATAAAGGAGTGTCTGCACACCCCATGTGGGGAAAGGAGAAAACAGCGAAGACTTCCTGGAGGAGGTGATGCCCAACCTGAATTATGAAACATATTAATAGTGAAAATAATGGCTAACATTTATGAAGCATAGACTATGTGCTGGCCACTCTCTGAACACTTGAGTGTATTCATTCACTGAATCCTCATGCCAATCCTCATAATGTTATCTCCTTTTTAAAGGATGAGGAAATTGAGGCGAAGCAAGGTCATGTAACATGCTCAAGGTCACACAATTAGTAAGGTGAGAGGTTGCAATCTGAACCTTGGTTCTCTGGCTCCAAGGCCTGTATGTCTAAGCATCATGATACACTGAGTGGTACCCATTTGAAGAGATAGAAGGGAGCCTCGTCCAAGAGGCAGCACAGGTAAAGCACGGGGTCAGGACTCAGCATGGTACATGCACAGAACCACAAACAGTCTGGGGCAACTCCAGGGGAAAGTGCAAGGACAGCAAGGAGGGGCAGTAGGGCTAGGGGTGGAGGCTGGGCGGGTGTCGGATCCTGGGAGGCCTTGAATTCCATATTCAGGCCTTTGGACTTCCTCCCAGAGGCACCGGGGAGCTGTGGGGAGGTGGCCCAGATGGTGGCACAGAAGGGGCAATGCATCAGACTTATATTTCAGGAGGATCACGCCGGCTGCTATATGGAGGGTGGATGTGGGTGGGTGCACTGGGGGCTGTGTAGAGGATACTATTGGTGCCCACCCAGGTCACACTTCCCAGGCCAGGGCACCCCCTCAAGTTACTCTGAGACTTGGCTACAAACAGCTCACAGTTACCCACTTCTTTAGAGAATTGCTCCCAGCCCAACAGGCGCCAGGTCCCTTGGGGTGGGGGTGGGTCGCTGGCATTCAGTGACTGAGAGGAGTATTAGAGTGACCAACTGGCTTTGCCAGTCTTCGCAGGATGGAGGGGTTTCTCAGGACGTGGGACCATCAATGTTAAATCCAGGATGGTCCTGGGCAAACCAGGATGATGGGTTACCCTAACGAGTGTACCAGAGGCCACTTGCCTCAAGACGGAATCAACTCTGTGGTATAATTCATGCCCCAGACCTCCGGGTGGGATCAGGCTGATGCTGGTCTCCAGCTGAGACCAACCACATCTTTGCTTGGCTCCTTCTGTGCCCGGTTCTGCCTCCCTCCCTTCCCTTCTCCTCGGAGTTCTCCCTCAACACATCATCAAGGGGACCCGAATCCCTGCCTCAGGCTCTGCTCCTCAGAAACCCAAACTAAGACACGGCAAGACGAGAGGCAGAGAGCCCCATCGGCAGGTTGCTGCAGAGTCCAGGTGGAAGTGAACAAAGGCCTGGATTAAGGCGCGGATGGACCAGTTGAAGCAGAAGCAAGGTTTCAAGACTACTTGGAGGTTTTCACTCCATCCTCCGAATCAACTCAACCTCAGGAAGCCATTGTGTGAGCCCTCACCACTGGTGCTGTGACTATTTATCGAGTGTCCTCCCTCCCTGATGGGACTGTGTTTTCTTTAAGGGCAGACACTGCTTCCTGCTTATTATTTCGGGGTCCCCAGCTCAGGAACTGATTTTGAGCTCATAACCCAGGCAGTGTTTGCTAAGCACCTGCCCGCATACTTGGGAGAGGCTGGCTAAGTTGAATTAATTCTCTTGAGGCTGGGGGTGGACGGGGGTCTTTCAAGGATGTCTTCCTAAGGGTCACATCTCTCCTTGTGATTGTTTGAAAGAAAAACAAGAAGACAATCTGAGAAAGGTCTATGACTCCTCGACCTTCTGGGCTGGCTGTAATTTTCCAAGGCCAGGAGGTGACACTTAGGTTCTGGGCGCCATGATGGCCGCCACGTCCCCAGTCACCCATCTCATTCCTGGCACTAACTGTATGTGTGGTCGATGAGATGGGTGACTACCAGATCCTCCAGGCCTCAGCTGCAGGATTGTGGGCTGCCAGTGATTCCCAGACGCCCCTTTTCTGGAGAAGTCTCCTCAGCCGACAGGAGCCAGCCCACCCTGAAGGATACCCCTCAGCGCCTGACTTGGCATGGTTTACGCTCTGGAGGACCCCATGAATCAGGCCTAGGCTAGACTTACCCTCCCCTCTTCTGCTTCCCTCCTTCCCTTCTAAGTTCCTCTTAGGAGTGGTCCTTTGATATAACACATGTACCCGAATCCTTGTCTCAGGCTCTGCTTCCGAGGAACCAACCTAAGACCATATGGATGGTTGTTTGCCTCCTCGCCGTGGAGGGGCGCCCTTCCCTCCCAGCTCTTCACCTGAGGCAGCATATGCGGCCCTTAGGAGCACAGGGTGTTGGAGGGGGCACCTCTGGGAGCAAGCAGTGTGTCCTGCCCCACGGCTATGCACGCGGGAACGGCACTGTGTGTGGGCCAGCTTTGGCCCTCACAAGGCCTTGTCACACCCCAATGGCACAGCTCTCAAAGCACTGAAATCCGCAGTGCTCCTGTGCCCTCAGGCCTCTGGTCACTTGGTCCCTTAATGCTGTTGCTTTTAGCACGTGGCACCTATGGCGCAGTGGAAGTGACAATGGTCTCCAAGTCGGGGGCTGGCGTGTGACTCCTGGTTCAGCCACTTTGCAGCTGGGCAAGTTTGGACAACGACAAGCAACGCTCTGTGCCTAATTTTCTTCATCTCTAAAATGGGCGTAATAATAGGATCTAACCTCAAGAGGTTGTGGGGAGGGATTAAATGAGTTCATTTATGCAGAGCATTTAGAAAAGTCACCGGGTTTAGTAAGTGCTCGATAAATGTCAGCTGTCATAACAGGAATGATATAACAATGGTTCCGCAATAGTTAAATTATAAGTATGATAATAATAATGATGATTTGCAATCACATTCTCGCTCTCAGGCTCCTGCTACCCTGGCCTCCTTTCAATGCCTAGACTAGCGTTTCTCAATCCCGACATGATCAGTATTTTGGGCTGGATAATTCTTTGCTGTAGGTCCTGGGCGGTCCTGTGCACCACAGGCTGTTCATCAGCATCTCTGGCCTCCGCCCACTAGATGCCAGGAGTACCCTCCCTCCTCTGTCTTGACCAACTAAAAATGTCTCGAGGCATTGGCTCAGTTCTCTTGCAGGACAAAAGCACCCCCAGCTGAGAAGCACAGTTCTAGCACATGCCAGACTCTTCTTTCCCTGTGATGCTGCATGTTTCTTTCCCTCTGCCTGGGACAGTATTCCTCCCGCTCTTCCCTTGGCCGGCTTCTCCTCCTTCATTGTCTGTCTCAATGCCTCCTCTTCCAGGAAGCCCTCTCTGACCACCTCATCTTCCTGTCTCCGCTCTTGGCATGTTTCTTTCATGGCTTTTTATCACCACGTGTCATTAGTCCACCCCTCCTACTGGAGCAGGATCCACATCTGACTCGATGGCTCATCTGTCTCTGGTGCCAAGCACAGGACGGGCACAGAGCATTCCCTCGCCCGCTGAGTGTCCTGAGTGAACAAACAAGCCGGCCTGCCTGGTGGACAGGCTGCCCGCAGCCCCAGGGACACTTACCTTCTGGACCGTGAAGGTGCGTATGACATATTCTGCCAGGGGCTCTGTTTCAATCAGGGTGACTTTAATGTCCCCGTAGACCTCTGTGTCATCCGGCCAGTACCGCACACACTTCACCTGTGAGGAGGGACAGAGGCGAGGACAGGTGAGCAGGGGGCTGGCTGAGCAGGAGCAGCCGCCTCCTCTGGCCTTCCCGTTCCAATCAACCCAAGGGTGACTTTGGTGGAACCTCAGTCCAAGGGGTTCTCAGCTGGCCAGGGACCGGCCAAGGGCCTAAGCCAAACTTACTCCCAGAGGAACTGGAGCCATTGGGAATAACGGCAGTACCTTCTGTTGCAGAGCTCCTTATAATTTCCAAATCCATCATCACACTAAGGGATCAAATAGATCTAGGTGAGATAGGCAGGCGGTGGCATCCCCCATTTACAGATGAAAATCATACTCAAGTTTGGAGGTTTTGGGGACTTGTCCAAGGTCACATGGCCAGTTTTCTACCTTTGGCTGAATGGTATAGCAGGCTGGGGCATCCGAGTTTTATCGGCTGAGCAGAGATGAGAATAAAAGGTGGGGAATAGTGAGGGGGTTGAAAGCAGAAGTGCTCGGGAGAAGGACATTGATATTGAGAGCTGGTCATCGGGGGCTGGAAGGAGAAAGGCTCAGACGTTGGGGAGAAGATGGAAGTGCTGGGCTTAAAGGGAAGCTCTCTGCCCGGGCGGTGGGTGCAGACGCTACCAACAAGCCATTCCCACATTTGACTCTAAGTCACACTCCGCAGGAGGAAAAAGAGATCATCGCTTTCCCCTTAAAAGAACAAAAGCATTACCATTCCGGGGGACGCCGCGCAGCCTAGAGTGGCATTTCCCACTGTGTGTTCCTCTGGGTGCTAATAGGTGTTAGGTAAAAAAAAACAAGAAACAAAAAAACAAACAAACAAAAAAGGTTTTGTGGTCAAATGAGTTTGGGAAATGCCGGGTTCAACAAAGTTAAACAGGCCACTTTGCTACAGGACTCCTCAGTGGGTTTAATGTGCTAACGCTCGTGTGGTTTTCGGCTCTCCAAGAGGGGCAAAGAGTGTCCACAGCATTTCCCAAACGTATTTAACCATGGAACCCTCTTCTCACTAAGCATCCTGCAGACTAGCATCCCATGGAACCCACTTAGGGAAACGCTGGTAGAGCATGACAGGCTTTGGAGGCAAATGGATGCATTGCTTGGTTCTAACACTCAGCAGCTGTGCAGCTTCCAGGACGTGCCAAAACCTCTCTGAGCCTCAGCTTCTCTTAACGATGACGGCTGACACTTACTGACTGTGTTCTGGGTCTAACACGGCTGACAAAGTCTTTTTACGAACACTTTATGTGCATTCTTTTAATTACGTGTCACTACGTCCACAGGAGGTTGATAGTATTATTGTCCCCATTTTACAGATGAGGAATCAAAACGACTAAGACAATTGCCCAAAGTCAACTGTTAGGAAGGGACGCAGCCAGGATACAAAGCCAGGGCATCTGAGTAATTACCAGGAACACTGTATCATACGACTGTGAGATAAAACCAAGTAATGCACAGTAGGATCAGGCACAGTGCTTGGCTCCTGACCCCTTCCCCAATCCAAATTAGAGTCATGATCCATCCATCAAGGGAACCTGTCACCAATGTGGGATATGTTACAGAACAGGCTGCGATGTGTCCCTGAATTCTTAAACCCTGAGCTGGCTTCTCATCTGCAGTAGCCACACCCTGGGCCTCAGTCCCTGGGGAGCGGTCCTGCCTGGAGGAACCATGAGCCCGGGAACGAGAGTCAAGTTGATCAGAGGTCATGCCCAGCTTCTGGCTGGGTGACTTCAGAGTAGTTACTTGACTCTTTTGTTCTGTTTCCTCATCTATAAAACCGGACAATGTATTAGATAAGTATAAGCTCAAGGATAAAGTCTCTCCTGGTCCTAAATTCCTAACAGGCCACGAGATGCCCACAACCCTTTACTAGATTACGACTCTCAGCCCAGAGTCTCCCTTTCCCATCGTCTTGGAGGCTAGGGCTCTATTTTAATGGGGTACCTGGTTCTGCCAAAACAGAAACTTACCTGCCCACTCTTTAGTTGGCTCATAAGTAGAGAGGCCCTCTTAATCCCAATGTGTGTGTGCACCCTGCCTGGGAACCCAGCAGCCCACCCACCCACATGCCACCGTTGACCAAGTGGGCAACAGCAAGCTGGGAATAGCAGTCCCGTTTCTAAGCCCTAGGAGCTGAGGACCGCGTAGGAGAGAGGCGAAATAGAGTAGAGCGGGAGACCAAGGCCTGAACCTTGAAGATGATGGAGGTTTAGCGGTCAGGGAGCAAAGGTCAAATGCTGCTGAGAGGCTGAATACAATGGGCAGAGAGAACCGGCTGTTGGATTTGTCAACATGAAGGATGTTGGCGATGTTGACAGCGTCACTATGGGTGGGATGGAGGGAGAAGCTATGGTGGGGAGGGCAGAAGAGAGCAGGAAACGGAACCTGTGTGTGAGTCTTTCGTGTTTGGCAGAAAAGTAGGGACAAGAGAATCACTTTTGTTTGCCTGTTTTATATTTTCAAGGGGGAAGCTACTCAGGCTGTTCGTACGCAGACATCTAGCCATGAGAAAGAGAACTATTTTTCAAGTGGGGGCTGGGGATGAGAAAATTCTTGAGCAGAATCTGTGATTCAAGGCCCTAGGATTGCCTTTGAAAGGGCAAGAGTCACTTCTTCCATAGCATTAGGCTGAGCCACCAGGAACGGCCAATAGTCCACCATTTGGGGTCAACAAAAGCAACCTTTTGTTTTTTTTAATGGTTCAACCTGATAATAAAGGGGAAGAACAGAAGATGGTTGTAGACAGAAGTAGGATGATAGCTTTGTGGTGTGAAGATGACAGAGTTCACGTCTGATGGCTTTCATTTCCTCAAACTGCATGAAATGATGTCATCCACGGAGAGTGAGGGTGGAGACGGGCATGACGGGGGGTTTGGAGGAAAAAGACATGCCTTGAGGGTGAAACAGGGGTGAGGAGTTCTCCCTCGTAGGTGACTATGAGGGTAAAATATTGATCAGGAAGCACTCGGCACAATGCACGGAATAAGACATGCTTAGAAGCGCAACGCCAGCAACCCCCCTCCAGGGCACTGCAGGAGGGGCTTACCCTGCCCACCTCCACGAGGTTCGTGACCATGACGATGCTGGCTGAATTCTCCTGCCAGATCATTCTCCAGAAGTCCTT